CAATATCTGGCCGAGTCATGCACAGGTACAGGAGTTTCCCAAGAAGTCTCTGAAAGACCCCTTTGTCTTCCAACAATGTTCCATCTGAAGCAGAAAGTTTGTTACTCATATCAATAGGAGTTGCGGCTGGTCTAACACCCATCTTCCCAGTTTCAGAAAGCAAGTCAAGGACATATGTCCTTTGGGAGATAAGGATCCCATCCTTGGATCTAGCAACTTCTATGCCAAGGAAGTATCTCAACTCCCCCAGGTCATTAATCTCAAATTTTGTGTGAAGGAAGGACTTAAGAGCACAAATTCCTGAAGCATCATTACCAGTCACTACAATATCATCAACATACACAATGAGATATACTGCTAGAGATCCACTTCTCTTCACAAAAAGAGTATGATCAGACTATGTCTGAGCATAGCCGAAATTAACAAGTGCTGCTCAATCTCTCAAACCATGCTCTAGGAGACTGTTTGAGGCCATAAAGGGACTTCTTCAATTTGCATACCTTTCCTTGCATATCACTTTCGTACATTCCTGGAGGGAGAGACATATAAACCTCCTCATGTAAATCACCATTCAGAAATGCATTCTTTACATCCAACTGATAAAGGGGCCAGTCAAAGTGAGCTGCCAGAGATAAGAGAACCCTCACAAATATCATCTTAGCAACAAGTGCAAAGGTCTCCAGATAGTCAATCCCATACATCTGTGTGTAGCCTTTTGCAACTAGCCTGGCCTTGTACCTCTCATTAGTCCCATCAACCCGGTATTTAATGGTAAAGACCCACTTGCAACCAACCGAATCCTTCCCTTCAGGCAAATCCACCACTTCCCAAGTATCATTCTTGTGTAGGGCATCCATTTCAGATTTCATGGCATCTCTCCATTCTGGAATCTCAAGAGCTTCTGACACAGACCTAGGAATAGGATTAGAAGCAATTGAAGAGAGATAAGAAAAGTATGAAGGAGAAAGCAAGCCATAAGAAAGGTGTTTTGAAATGCAGTGTGCAGTGCACTTCCGTTTTCCTTTCCTAACAGCAATGAGAACATCAAGATTCGGGAAAGATGGTTCCAAAGGGGTTGAAACAACACATGTTGTCTCATCTGTGATTGGAAGTGCATGAGGCTCACTTGTTGGAAGGGAACAACCTGCTCATTCCTGGATCTTTGCCTTTGATACACCTTAGGATTGTGGGCAGGACGAGGAGGTAAAGAGAGAGGAACACTAAGACAAGGAGAATTGGGTGACTGATCCTCCCTTGATTCATTTGGAGAGGACACAGGCTCTTCATGAGACTCAACTGGGACAGGGAGAGGAAGACAAACACTTCTGACAAATTCTCCCCCTGTGGACAATGTCCTTGCTAAGAGGAACCATAAAAAGGAGAAAATTCATCAAAGGTAACACCCATTGAGACATATCGAGTGTCAGTCTTTAGATCAAAACAACAGTAACCCTTCTGTGTGGGGGAATAACTAAGGAAGATACACTTGTGGGCTTTTGGTTCAAATTTATGTCTCTGGGCACTTGGAATGTGTACATAACAGGTGCAGCCAAACACACGAAGAGGAATAGGAAAGAGGTCCTTGTCTGGATGGAGAAGACTGAAGGGGGATTTAAACCCTAGAACCCTGGATGGCATACGGTTTATGAGGTAGGTAACAGTGAGAACAGCATCTCCCCAAAATCTTGTAGGAACATATGAGGCAAACAAAATGCTCCTTGCAACTTCAACAATATGTCTATTTTTCCTTTCAGCAACTCCATTCTGTTCAGGGGTTCTAACACAGGAACTTTGGTGAATAACCCCTATGTCAGAGAGATACGAGGATAAGTTCTTCTCAAAATATTCTTTTGCATTGTCAGATCTGAAAATTTTAATCCTGGTATCAAACTGGGTTAAAACATATTCATGAAATTGCCTCACAAGTCTTGGAACTTCATCATGAGATTTCATTAGGAATATCCAAGTGAATCGAGAAAAATCATCAATAAACAGGATGAAGTATCTRTAGCCCCCCATAGAGGATAAGTGGTAAGGCCCCCACACATCAGAGTGCACAATATTAAAAGGAAAAGAAGATCTTTTATTGCTCAAAAGATAATTGTTTCTACAATGTTTTGATAACTGACATGATTCACAATTAAGACTGGACACACCGATTCCCTTGAACAATTCAGGGAATAGATGACTTAAAGCAGAAAAAGGGAAATGACCCAAACGACAATGACTCAA